TAACTCAGTTGAAGTAAATTTTCAAAATTTGGGGAACTATAAGTTATTTGTTTTGAGGTAACTTCTTTTCATAAAGGCTGTAAAGTTTCCTGATTTATCTTAAACTCCTTCTTGAGACAAAAAAATAAAATTTGTAAAAGTTTAAATTTCTCGGTGTTTTCATCATCATTATCAATCATGGCTATACTTTTGCCATAGCTCTCCTAATGGCTTTCCATACAAAACAAGAATGTCTTCCCTTTTGACTGGACCAATCCATGTGATAATTGTCTCCAAAACCATTGAAATTTACTTATTAACACACATGCTAACTTATCATATTTGCTGGATATATAGAACTAAAATGGTACAACAAGAGAAGCAAGAAGAAATGATGTTTTAAGGTATGACATTATGAACTAGAGGAGAATGATTCAATTTCTACCCACTCTACTTTGCCAGACTACCTCTGGTCCTGTTGGATTTAGCAGCTTCTTCTAAGCCTCACCTGTACCCACCATGGCCTCTTTCTTTTAAATTAATTAATTAATTTATTTTTATTATTCATATGTGCATACAATGCTTGGGTCATTTCTCCCCCCTGCCCCACCCCCTCCCTTACCACCCACTCCACCCCCTCCCTCTCCCCCCCACCCCCACAATACCCAGCAGAAACTATTTTGCCCTTATTTCTAATTTTGTTGTAGAGAGAGTATAAGCAATAACAGGAAGGAACAAGGGGTTTTGCTGGTTGAGATAAGGATAGCTATACAGGGCATTGACTCACATTGATTTCCTGTGGGTGTGTGTTACCTTCTAGGTTAATTCTTTTTGATCTAACCTTTTCTCTAGTTCCTGGTCCCCTTTTCCTATTGGCCTCAGTTGCTTTTAAGGTATCTGCTTTAGTTTCTCTGTTAAGGGCAACAAATGCTAGCTAATTTTTTAGGTGTCTTACCTATCCTCACCTCCCTTGTGTGCTCTCGCTTTTATCATGTGCTCAAAGTCCAATCCCATTGTTGTGTTTGCCCTTGATCTAATGTCCACATATGAGGGAGAACATACGATTTTTGGTCTTTTGGGCCAGGCTAACCTCACTCAGAATGATGTTCTCCAATTCCATCCATTTACCAGCGAATGATAACATTTCGTTCTTCTTCATGGCTGCATAAAATTCCATTGTGTATAGATACCACATTTTCTTAATCCATTCGTCAGTGTGGGGCATCTTGGCTGTTTCCATAACTTGGCTATTGTGAATAGTGCTGCAATAAACATGGGTGTGCAGGTGCCTCTGGAGTAACCTGTGTCACAGTCTTTTGGGTATATCCCCAAGAGTGGTGTTGCTGGATCAAATGGTAGATCAATGTCTAGCTTTTTAAGTAGCCTCCAAATTTTTTTCCAGAGTGGTTGTACTAGTTTACATTCCCACCAACAGTGTAAGAGGGTTCCTTTTTCCCCATCCTCACCAACACCTGTTGTTGGTGGCGTTACTGATGATGGCTAGGCTAACAGGGGTGAGGTGGAATCTTAGTGTGGTTTTAATTTGCATTTCCTTTATTGCTAGATATGGTGAGCATTTTTTCAGGTGTTTTTGGCCATTTGAATTTCTTCTTTTGAGAAAGTTCTGTTTAGTTCACTTGCCCATTTCTTTATTGGTTCATTAGTTTTGGGAGAATTTAGTTTTTTAAGTTCCCTATATTCTGGTTATCAGTCCTTTGTCTGATGTGTAGCTGGCAAATATTTTCTCCCACTCTGTGGGTGTTCTCTTCAGTTTAGAGACCATTTCTTTTGATGAACAGAAGCTTTTTAGTTTTATGAGGTCCCATTTATCTATGCTATCTCTTAGTTGCTGTGCTGCTAGGGGTTTTGTTGAGAAAGTTCTTACCTATACCTACTAACTCCAGAGTATTTCCTACTCTTTCCTGTATCAACTTTAGAGTTTGGGTCTGATATTAAGATCCTTGATCCATTTTGAGTTAACTTGGTATAGGGTGATATACATGGATCTAGTTTCAGTTTTTTGCAGACTGCTAACCAGTTTTCCCAGCAGTTTTTGTTGAAGAGGCTGCTATTTCTCCATCGTATATTTTTAGCTCCTTTGTCAAAGACAAGTTGGTTATAGTTGTGTGGCTTCATATCTGGGTCCTCTATTCTGTTCCACTGGTCTTCATGTCTGTTTTTGTGCCAGTACCATGCTGTTTTTATTGTTATTGCTTTGTAATATAGTTTGAAGTCAGGTATTGTGATACCTCCTGCATTGTTCTTTTGACTGAGTATTGCCTTGGCTATTCGTGGCCTCTTGTGTTTCCATATAAATTTACAGTAGATTTTTCAATCTCTTTAATGAATGTCATTGGAATTTTGATGGGAATTGCATTAAACATGTAGATTACTTTTGGGAGTATACATTTTTACTATGTTGATTCTACCAATCCATGAGCATGGGAGATCTCTCCACTTTCTATAGTCTTCCTCAATCTCTTTCTTCAGAAGTGTATAGTTTTCCTTGTAGAGGTCTTCACATCTTTTGTTAGGTTTACACCTAGGTATTTGATTTTTTTTGAGGCTATTGTAAATGGAATTGTTTTCATACATTCTTTTTCAGTTTGCTCATTGTTAGTGTATAGAAATGCTAATGATTTTTCTATGTTGATTTTATATCCTGCTACCTTGCTATAGCTATTGATGATGTCTAGAAGCTTTGAGTAGAGTTTTTTGGGTCTTTAAGGTATAGGATCATGTCATCTGCAAATAGGGATATTTTGACAGTTTCTTTACCTATTTGTATTCCTTTTATTCCTTCTTCTTGCCTAATTGCTCTGGCTAGGAATTCCAGTACTATGTTGAATAGGAGTGGAGATAGTGGGCATCCTTGTCTGGTTCCTGATTTTAGAGGGAATGGTTTCAGTTTTTCTCCGTTAAGTATAATGCTGGCTGTAGGTTTGTCATATATAGCTTTTATAATGTTGAGGAACTTTCCTTCTATTCCTAGTTTTCTTAGAGCTTTTATCATGAATTGGTGTTGGATCTTATCAAAGGCTTTTTCTGCATCTATTGAGATGATCAAGTGGTTTTTGTCTTTGCTTCTGTTAATGTGGTTTATTACGTTTATTGATTTTCGTATGTTGAACCACCCCTGCATCCCTGGGATGAAGCCTACTGGTCGTGGTGAATAATCTTTTTGATGTGTTGTTGAATTCGGTTTGCCATTATTTTGTTGAGGATTTTTGTCAATGTTCATTAAGGAGATTGGCCTATAGTTCTCCTTTTGGAGGTGTCTTTGCCTGGTTTTGGGATAAGTGTAATACTGGCTTCATAATATGTGTTTGGCAGTTTTCCTTCCCTTTCTATTTCGTGGAACAGTTTAAGGAGGGTTGGTATCAGTTCTTCTTTAAAGGTCTGATAGAATTCAGCAGAGAATCCATCAGGTCCTGGACTTTTCTTTTTGGGGAGACTCTTGATTGCTGCTTCAATTTCATTTTGTGTTATAGGTCTATTCAGGTGATTAATTCCTCTTGTTCAGTTTTGGATGATCATATGTATCTAGAAATCTGTCCATTTCTTTAAGATTTTCAAATTTATTTGAATATAGGTTCTCGAAGTAGTCTCTGATGATTTCCTGGACTTCCATGGTGTTTGTTGTTATCTCCCCTTTTGCATTCCTGATTGTACTAATTTGGGTTTTTTCTCTCCTCATTTTAGTCAGGTTTGCCAGGGGTCTATCTATCACATTTTCTTAATCCACTCATCAGTGGTGGGGCATCTTGGCTGTTTCTATAACTTGGCTATTGTGAATAGTGCTGCAATAAACATGGGTGTGCAGGTGCCTCTGGAGTAACATGTGTCATGGTCTTTTGGGTATATCCCCAAGAGTGGTATTGCTGGATCAAATGGTAGATCAATGTTTAGCTTTTTAAGTAGCCTCCAAATTTCTTTCCAGAGTGGCTGTACTAGTTTACATTCCCACCAACAGTGTAAGAGGGTTCCTTTTTCCCCGCATCCTCGCCATGGCCTCTTTCTAACAGGCCTGTCTTTGGTGAGGTTGTATGTTTCCTTCCCTGTCCTATGGCCTACACTGTGCTCTTTCTTTTTCAGGTCCATCTGTAATCCTTCTTTCCTCATAGCTCTCCCCAACTCAACTAGTTACAAAATCACAAACAATTGAAAAAGGTGGATAGTTGTTTGCTGTGTACTATGGCTAGTGAACTCAAGGGCAGTTCCATCCATAGCTGCAGATCATATTTTGTGGTCAACCCATTAACTAAAGGCAGTGTTTAAAATTATTCCCTATTATAAGTAAAGGAAATGGCTTTTGATCCCTGGATATGTTGATAACAAATTTAAACATGCAAATAATGGGGACAGTGTTGTTTCCCATGCTAAACGAAGTTGTGCTCTATGTTTTCTCCTGTTTGGGGCTGCAGGCCACATGGAGTGCATCGATTCCCTTGTAGCTCATGGGGGCAACATTGACTATAACATCATCCACCTGGGCACTCCTCTCTATGTGGCTTGTCAAAATCAGCAGATAGCTTGTGCTAAGAAGCTTCTGGAGTCAGGTAAGACAAAAAGACAAAACAAGAAAAGTAAATGAAATGTATTTTAAAGATTTTTCTATTGTAGCAGAGGAAAGAATGTGAGTGATGGAGTTGGGTAACATCAGAATTCATACTGTTCTTATGGAGAGTTATTTTACACTGTTCAAATTTTGGTTCTCTTACTTATAACCAGAATGATGATGATGGTGATGGTGGTGATACCTCCTCCCAGGGAGGACCTAAATGATCATTAGTTTCTCTTTCCTTTCCTCTGCCTCTCTCCCTCTGGCCAATCCTATAATTAGACCCTGCACAACTTGTAAAGGTGCTGAATTTGGCTATTTGGGACAGTCTTCACTAGTTCTTTTTGGTTAGGGAAATTGGGCTTGGCCCATTTTTAGCCTGTTGTAAATATTATATTTTCCTTGAAAACGCATGTGTATATCATTCCCTTTCACCTCCTTGAGGTTGTCCAGCCCCTTTCTCAACACCTGAAACACCATTTCATCACTTCTTTAATTATCTAAGTTTTATTCATTCTTTAAGACTCTAGGATTGATTCTCTTTCCCCACTGAACATTCTAATATTCCTTATTGCTTTGCAGTCATTTGGCAGCCATCCAGCTATCTCTCTCTCTCTCTCTCTCTCTCTCTCTCTCTCTCTCTCTCTCTCTCTTTCTCTCTCCTTTTCTCTCTCTCCCCTCAGGTAGATTTTAAGCTTCTACCCATTTTAAAGCTCTTAGGAAATGGTCATGTTTGGTGTCTCTGACAAATTACAAAATAACATAAGAACAATTCAGTTAACATTTATTGCATGAATGGACATAGATTCTCCATAGATTCTCATTATGCTGAAGGACTAGCAACTCAGGTAAAATGACATGCCCCCACATTTCACAGTGAGAACTAGAGGCTCTGGACTTGGTTGGGACTTATTAAGAGTGTAGAGGTGGGGTTGGGGTGGGGACGGTCCTAAAAAATCTACCTTACTCTTGAAGAGGAGAACTTAGCCACCTTCCCGGTGATCTTGAAATTAGCCATTCCAGTCTTGAAGATGCCCCCATCAATTGATTGCATTTCACAGCCCAAATCACACAGTCTCAGGTTTTAAATCTCATGATGGCTGCTCATTGTGTGAATTAAGCTGCTTGATGTGATGCATGATTTAACCTCACTCTCGGGCTATACTCGCTAATACTTATACTCTATTAGTAATGAATGTGTAGCTTTAATGACACCAAAAGTTTCTTTAATATATCATGGGCATGTATAACACTCAGTGGCAGATTTTTAGGTTCATATGCTACATAGCTCATGCTGTACTTTCAATCACATTTTTAAATGACAATTTTCTCACATTATTAGATAGAATAAAATTATTTCCTGTTTTCACAGAATCGCAATGCTCGCCATAGATCCTATTTTGTTGGGGAATTTTGAGGCTCAGTGCTTTGAGAGGGGGCATGGTTGGGCTCTGATCTTCAATTGACCCCTTTTATTCTTGTGGCATTTAGGAGCTAGCGTGAATCAAGGCAAAGGTCTGGATTCCCCTCTTCATGCAGTTGCCAGGATGTCCAGTGGGGAGCTGGCCAACCTGCTCATGGATTTCGGAGCAGACACCCAGGCCAAGAATGCCGAAGGCAAATGTCCTGTGGAGGTGGTGCCTCCAGAGAGCCCACTGATCCAGATCTTCTTAGAAAGAGAAGGTGCTTCTTTGCGGGAACCTAAGCCCTAATCCATAGAGACTCCTTGGGTCTCTAGTAGGAGGCAGATACTTACTGAGTTCTGTCTGACTTCCATCCCTATAAAAGATGCCATCACCAAATGTGGAGAAGTTGAGACAATTTAGTATTTCATGGAATGCCATATTGGTTATGGAGTAAATAACCCCACTGATCCAGATCTTCTTAGAAAGAGAAGGTGCTTCTTTGCGGGAACCTAAGCCCTAATCCATAGAGACTCCTTGGGTCTCTAGTAGGAGGCAGATACTTACTGAGTTCTGTCTGACTTCCATCCCTATAAAAGATGCTATCACCAAATGTGGAGAAGTTGAGACAATTTAGTATTTCATGGAATGCCATATTGGTTATGGAGTAAATAACCCTCTTGCTGTTTGGCATGTTAGAGACACACTATTTGAGATGGTCTGATATTCATATACGGGACAATCCAGTTTTCAAAGAATTAAAACATTATTTAAAATTTTTAATATTAAAACTATTTGAAACATGCTTTAGAATGATGCAGCAGGGGCCTCTTTGGTGTTGTATGATGCCCAAGGATGTCTTACTGCACTATAGATGAGCTAAACTACTGGACATTTGTTTTCTGAGGTTAAAATGCAGCTAATTAAGAGTTTAGGGCACTTCTTTAGTGTTTCACACCAATCCAGAGACATTTACTGTTGCAAGTTAACCAATGAAAAGTCCACACTCCTCCATAAATAAGAACTGACACTTCTGACTCAGACAACCAGTCACTGTGATTGAGCAGTGTGCATGGGAGAACCAGTACTTTTCTGTGGTGTGGGATGGGGAGAAGACCGCTGGGGTTGGAGAGAGACATGATAATGTGTCTAGAGGTATTCAGCATCTAGGTCAGTACCTGCTTTCTTACCAGAGTGTTGACTATGTTAAGTGTTAAGAGTTGTGGGACTTTGAAGCAGGCATCCCTACCAGAAGGATTCTGATGGCATATAATCTGGTTATTTTCTCTCTACAAGCTGAGAAATAGGTCTGACTCTAGGCAGAGAGTAAAGTGGACCAAGGAATTCACTGCCCCAGGATACTTTCCATGACCTGCATCCTCAGCAGTGTAGGCAAGGCTAGGGAAAAATGACCCCGGGAGAAGGAACTGTCCAGTAGAGACTTCTTTGTGTTAAACAGTGGGATAATCACGTAAATTGTATTCACATTTGGATGATTTCTCGTTTTCAAAAAATGCTATCTATCTATCTATCTGTGGAGCTGGTTTCTTCTACATTAAGGCTCACAGAAATGCCTTAATAATTTCTCTTAAAATAAGAAAAAAATGAACAAAAACCATCCTAGATTATATTCATCTTTAACCAACACAGTTGTAAGATATAATCTTTAAAATTTTTTATTAGGAAAGTCATCCACAAAGGCAAATGTGCCTCAGGGCCCCCTAAAGTCATAATGTAGTATGTATATATCCCCTGCCCATCAAATAGTCTCATAAGATTTTCAAATCGCCTCTGGCTTTTTCTTTCCACTTTATTTCCCAAAGCGATTCCTAGAGACCTGGGTTCATTTAATTTCTTTATTTCACATTTTGCATGGTGACTACACGTGTGGCCAAGGATTCCACTTGTTTATAAAGTATAGGAGTTTGGGGTGTTGCTCAGAAGTAGAGCATGTGCTTATCATGGGTAAGGCCCTGGGTTGGATTCCCCAGCACCAAAAAGAAATATATGCATAAGTAAGTATGTAACTATATAGTATATAAGTATATTTATATAAGTAAGTAGTAAAGAATAATTTATCACCGGAAAAAAATCACTGCTTATTTTGCCTCCCAAGAGTCATTTTTGGGATTCTGGTGAGGTCATTCTTCAGCAGGCTGGAAGCCCACCAGATAAGCACAGAAAGTCAGACCTGAATATTTAGCACAGCAGTTTCTGTCTCTGGGTATCCTTGCTGGTCCAGGCCACCTGTTTCTCTGTGCCCAGGGAAGTGACTTAATTAAATTGCTGTCCTCTTTCAGTAGTGTAGTTGCATGAGAATGTTAGGTGAAACCCAACCATGTCCTGTGCCTGTCCTTTGCCTAGTTGTTAGGAAAGACAAGATTTCCCTGTCTTTGGAGGGAAAGGGAAAGGATTTCAAGACTATTACCCCTCCACCTTTGTAAGCAGTGTTTGCTCATGGTACACAATGAAAAGTAAAAATGATTCTCAGCCCAGCACCCACCAATGGAGCACCCCACCCCCTGAAATGTACTTTGGCCTTAAGGCATCATAAGTATTATTGGGAGAGAAAAAGAAAGAAATCAAGACCTAAAGGAATAAATCCATTCATAAATATACATTTAGTTATTTTATCATTGAACAAAGCTTGCAGGTGCCAGCAAAAGGCTGCAAAGCTGCAGCAGATGCTCAGCTCTGTTTTTTATAAAATTAGAGCTGCTGTTGGTGCACATTGTTCTACTTGTAGTAAACACTCAACCGCTAGTGGGCCATCAGTAGTCACTTTGACCTGTTCTGATGCCTTGCTTTTCATAGTTCTCTATCAGGTTTACTCTGACGTCTTGCTCGTCATAATGCTTTATCAGTACCTCCTATAGTTGCCCTTGACCGTGATCTAGCACATATGGTTAGTTATATCCTTCAACATTCCTTAGTGAAGTTAGATTAAGTTCCATTTCCCCACAGTGTACTTTTTGCAGTTTGGTAGTATATGCCTTCAGTACACTGGTCATAATCTGAAAGGTGCCCTAAATTCCAACACTGCCCACCTGAAGGTGTTGTTAGGTCCAGAATAAAAATCTTGCATTCATTTCTTTGAATATATTTGTCTATTTCCACCTCTTTTTATTCTCCATCACCTGAGAGATATGTAATTCAATTTACCTGTAGCTTGTAGTGAGGCTATAAGAAAACAGAGGCCACAGTTTCCTTTTGATTTTGTTCTTCCACAAAATAAGATGACTCAAGTCCAATGCCTTTAACGAAATCCAGATGCACAGTCCCCAGCCAACAATAATTGGTTCTCTGGGGAGGAGCTCAGCATCATGTAGTTTAAACTCTCCCCACCCCAGAGAATTCTGAAGTGCAGTCTATACTGAGCCCAACTGCTTCATGGAATTCTTGAGTTTGTTTTTTTTTTTCTAAAAGAGACTTTCCATTATAATTTGATACAAAGAGTAGGGATGGGAGTAGAAAATCATTCTTTATCCTTTTATCTTGTAATAGGATTTCTGAATCTTGATATTATGGACAGTTTGGACCAGTTGGGGACTATACAGGACAGTGTGTAGGGCACTGTAGGATGCTTTGCAGTATTCCTGTCCCCTATCCACTCGATGCCAGTAACACTTTCCTCAAGTTGTGACAACAGAAAATGTCTCCGGACATTGTCCAATGTCCCCTAGGGAGCAAAATTCTTCCTCTTTCTTCCCTCCGCCCCCCACCTGCCTCTGTTTGGAACCATCATCCTAAAACGTAAAGTCTTGGGTGTTTCCCATGTAAGGTTTATGCTAGTTCAATTTTCACCCATGAGTTGAAGCTCTGAATACAGAATATAAAAGCAAGTATGACTTAATAAGATAACATACACTTATGATTCACTAATAGCTCATTATATTTAAATAAATTTTCTAAAATTATAAAATAGATGTGCATCTAGAAACATGAAAGTAAAAGAAAAGAACTCCGTCAAACATGAATTTTTTCACTATTAAAATTTTTGTATAGTTGTGTACTTCTCAAGTTAGTTTCTTTAAGCCTCTGTTAGTGAGGCTAAGCTTTAAATTTCTTTCACTCTGTTATAAATTAAAGCCCAATGAACTTACTTCAGTTAGATATAAGAGAGAGCATAGCCTGTAAATGCCTCCCACAAAAAAATGCCAGAAAATGGTCTTAAACAGTACTATATTATTTATTTCCTTAGAATAATGTTATATCTAGTATACTTAAAAAAGGAAAGGAAAAGTAGTCTTAGATCAATGAAACCAACGTGTGACTTGTCGTATGCTCTTTCTCCAGGACCCCCCTCTTTGATGCAATTGTGTCGCCTGAGGATCCGGAAATGCTTTGGAATCCAGCAGCATCATAAGATCAACGGACTTGTCATCCCGGAGAGACTGAAGCGGTTCCTCCTACACCTTTAATTGCATCAAGGGGGTGGATTCTAAAAACATCAGGATTCACAGTTCAACATTATTGAATGTTGTGGTCAGTAGCATTTAAAATAAAGCCAGCGTTATAGAGATTGGCTAGTTTTTTAATCAGACTTTTATTTTTAATAGAATTACACTGGTATTTTATATTATTGGTTAGAAGGCATGAAAATTTCTATCCCCTTGCTCAGGAGAGCATGTATAAGATAGCAACTATTGTATTGAACACCTACTACATGCCAAGTACTAAGTAAGGAACTCTTTATGCATCATCTAATTTAGCTCCTATAGCAAACCTACTAGTTGAGTACTATTTGCTACTTTTCCCAGATAATACACTGAAACTCTGATGGATATATTCAGTTATCTAGATCAAGGATAGAAGAAACACGTGCAAATATAGCTTTTCTGCTGTTTACGTGGGGAGCTTTGACTGAGGCAGAATTTTCCAATATTACTGTCCTGGTTCCATCTCTATGACATGGAAACAAGATAAAGAAAACAAGACATTTCTTTGTTTACATCTATTTTTTAACTGTCCTTGGTTTCGTGACAAAGCTACTAGTGCCTCCATAGAGTATAGAGGCAAGTTCTTTTTCTCAGCCAGAATGCCATATGCATTTTAAGCATATTCTAGAACCTTGCTATTCAATACAGTAGCTACTAGTCTAGTGGTTCTCAACTGTGGGTTATTTTTACCTCCCACACAGGGGACATTTGGCAACACCTGGAGACATTTTTGGTTGTCAAAACTAAGGGGAATATGGCATTTGCATCAAACAGGTAGAGGTCAGGGATGCTGCTAACATCCTATAATGCATAGGACAGCCCTCATACACAACAGAGAATTATCCTGTTCAAAATGTAAATAATGCCTAGGTTAAGAAACTTTGAACTATATGTGGCTTATTAAAACTTTTGAATTACTTAAAATTAGATAAAATAAAAATATCCAGTTCCTGAGGGTAATTAGCCACATTTTCAGTGTTCAGTAACCACATGTAGCTAGTGGATACTATATTGGACTGCACAGGTACATATCATTGTAGAAACTTCCATTGGACAGCACACTTTACATGGTCAGAGAATGGATTTTAACTGCTTTTCAGTTTCAGATTTACTGTAAACCTGTGATGTAGTTTAGTATTGGTGGTTGTAGTTTTGGTTATCTCTGAGAGATGAATTTAGGGTCTCATTACATCAATAGAAAGAAAGAAAATATTTAAGGAAAATAATTACCTATAAGGCAACATATGGCCCAGATCATCTCTAAAGATATTTCCAATATAATTTTTCTATGATTCTAAATTTAATTTGCTATATGAAAAAAGACTGAAATGTTTTTCTAAAATGCCTAACTAATTCCTCCAGAAGATGGCACTATTGCCACATACTCACTTAAGCACAAGGATTGCTTCTTACAAATGACCCATCATAAAATGGAAATTTCCATTTAGGAATAAAGATTTTGTGGTGATAGATTCCACTGATACAAGGTTCCCTTCTTTTCCAGTGTGTCCAATAATTCAAATGTTTGTTTTCAACTTAATCTGATCATTTTTACATTACTGCTCAGAATTTAGATAGCAATGAATGACAGTATCCTGTCATTTGCTAATTCATTTCATTTCATTAAGTCATTGAGTTAATTTATTTAGGGACTATTTAGTGAGAGCCTGGGTTAGTGCCAGTACCATCACAGGCACCAGGGCTTCCCCACTCATATCCTAGTCAAAGAGTCTTTTACCAAGGAGGAGGGGTTGTAGGTATTTTGCTATAGTTTTATTTTTGAAAACACTAGTTTAAAAATAATCTGGTTTCTCATATAAAACATATAAGTCAGATCCTTGATGATTTTAGTCTTCCCTCAGCCAAATCTACTGAGTTTAATCCCAAACTGACAGAATTACTAGTACAGCATTTTTCTTCTTAAATATTCTCAGCAATCATCCAATTTGCAAATCCATATCATAGATGGCCATCATCACAAATGGGAAAATATTACCACCACCTCCCTTGTTGCAATTTAGGGAAAATTCAAATTACCTCACTTAGCAATGCTCAGAAAGAAAAATCTATTTAAATAGTCTATATGAGTATAGATGTGGTTATATTGTAAGTGGTATATACATTTGAATGCCTTATTATTCACTGTAGCACAACCTTATAAATTCTATCATCAAAGCTGGTTAAGTGACCCCTACATTCATGAATGATGGACATAAACCTAGTCTCATGAAACCACCTTTTTTTCATTGGTGGTACTGGAGTTTGAACTCAGGGCTTCCAAGTGCTCTATCACTTCAGCCATGCTTCCAGCCCCCCTACTAAAGCCATCTTTTAAAAATAATAACCATATTATCTGTTTTTAGATTGCAAACTTACATATTTATGTAGACAACCTCATATGGTCATTTTACTATGTTTTCCTTAATTTTATTCAGTAGAAACACTGACCAGTTGCTGTACATCACTGGCATAATTCACATTACAATGAAAGAAGAAGACAAGAGGGAGGGATCAGGGAAGGATGACTTCTTTATTTTGGACTTACAATGGCTGATTGACATGGTCTGATATGTCATGTATCAGGCTGAAGTGGTCAGTCATTTAAGCAGGTATTAAAAGGTCAGAAATGAGAGGCCAAGATGTTCATATCTGTCTATTCTATGCCACAGGGTTGGGCCTTTATAATGTGATGTAAGTCAAGCATTAGGGCTTCAGTATAAGATCAGGTTAGCATCAAAAGCAACTAAATAATAGCTCCCATTGTGGAGGGCTCCCTAAAAGCTAGGCATGATGTATTAGTGATTTATAAGCATCCTTACAATTCTTATCCCCATTTCACAGATGGGGGTACATAAGGATTAAGGACCTTGCAACTAGTCAGTAGGTGGTAAAGCCAGGATTTAATGCAGAGGCCAGAGCTCTTACCATTACGTACTTTTTTGCCTTCCCTTTTCTTCAATCAATTCCAGAACTCTGGTCTCCAGGTCAGGTCCTAAAACCCTCTGCCTAATTTCCTAGTAGGATTTGGAAAGTAGATTCAGAGGCAAGTCTATAGGTCAAAGGTCCCATTGTGACACTTGAATTCTGTACTAATTTTAAGCCTGGGCACCACACAAGCTCTTACCTCTCTCACATGCATCAGCCTTAGAGACTCCAAACTTTGTCTCTTGGATCAAGTGAGTCAGCCTTGTCCTTCCATATGTCTAAGTAGGGCAGTTGCAACTAGGCAGATGTTTTGCCAGAGATTCACTAAAGTTCATCCAACCCAAAAGGGAAGCTGAGTATCATGCTTCCAAAATGCAGCTGAGTTTGCTGTAAGTCCACCTCCTGGCCTAGCTCCTAGCTGACATTCTTGGGACAAAGGACATTGGTCTCATCCTGACCTCCTTTCAGAACTTATCTGTGATGTGTCTTCTACATTCACGGGAATGAATCTGAGAGGGACAGGGCCTCCCTTTTGCTCAAGGCCAACCTTCCACACCCTGCTTTCCCATCTGATTCCTTGGAAGTAATGATCAGGAGGCCCAGCAGAAGCTCCCAAATGTCAGAGGCATATACCTTCAGACAGGACGAGGAAAATGTGACCTGAGGGCTGACTTGCTCTGGTGAGTAAAGAATAGGCATGCAGAGGGTTCGCTATACCTTGTTCCCCACCTGCCCTTTATGGTGTTTGGGCTGGGACTGAGGAAGTCAATCTCAGGTTTGGCATCTGCATTGGGCTCATCTTGAGGCAAAAATTCTTGTCACTGTGCTCTTAGTACAGAAAAGAATTCAACCTTCGGGGAGCCTCCACAATGTGCTAGAGGACACGAACATTCTACTGTCTAACACACCCTCCAAGACCTTTAGACTCCTTCAAGTGTATAAATTCTCACTGATTTGACAAGATTGATTTTCTACCCTTTACTTTGCAAAATCCATTGCAAGACCGAAGCAAGTAAAATTGATTTCTGCTCACTTTCTTTCCCACCCAAGGCCTCTTTGCTCACTCCTGGTGATAGGAGATTTTCTAACTTTCTATGCCCTTTTGAAAAGCTTATTTTTTTGGCTTTTCCTTTCCCTTGTTTTAGTACAGTGAAATCACATGGTTCCACAGGGCTGTGTGGGAATTTTAATATGATATTCTAGGTATTTACGCTTCGTAGGTTCAAGAAGACATCTCTGTTGTATCATACTTGGAAGCCTAAATATTTGCATTATAAACATTGGGCCATGGCCATGAATATTGGGGATACTGCCACCCTACTTTTCATTCAGTTCACATTTTGTGCATTTCACTTAAATTAGAATGTACTTCAGAAAGCCACCAGCAGAAGTTTATTCCTTTGAGTTGTGTTATGGGGAATCAGATGTAGTGGGATTGCATTTTCCTTTTCCATATAGGGCATAAACAATGTCTTATTTCTTTTAGTTTTCTGAGATGAATTTAGTTGGTTCTGAGCCCCCATTGCCTGGCCAGAAATCGAACCTCAGCAGAGATCCCGAGGGACTTATATTGCCCAGAACATGCAAGAAGGGTCCTCTGATCACTCACGATGTTTGTTGTCAAGACTCATGTGGTGCCTTGGAGGCAGGAGGATCGGGGGCAGCCATGGAACCTAATGCTTGCCTGAGGCTGGGAGCCTTAGTGCTTGAGACCTACGTAGATCCTGTAGTCATTTCTTTTTTTTTTCAGTCCTGGGGTTTGAATTTGGGGTTTTATACTTGCTTTGCAAGTACTCTACCACAACCCATTTTGTGCGTTAGTTACTTTTCAGATAGGAATCTCACATTTTTCTTGGGACTGGCCTTGAACTGCAATCCTCTTTATCTCCACCTCCCACATAGCTGGGATTATAGGTGTGAACCACCATGCCCAGCCTGCCATTCCCTCTTAATCCCAAGCTACCTCTCTAAACTATCGTATGGGAAGAGAACGTAAGTACCTGCTTCTGGGCTCACCACAAAACTCTAGTTCTCTTTCAGTCTGGGGGAATTGATGT